GAAGGCTTGGTTGTATCAGCTTCTCCTAGGTGACATTGTTTGCTTTCTCTGGGTGAATGTTTTAAAAGGCATCTGTTGAAATGTCTTGCAAAATTCACACAACATATGTGCAGACTCATATGCAAATATGGAGCACATCCCTTTTACCACTTGAGCTTTGTTTAAAACTTTGCCATAAATTCACTTTTTTTGTCTTGGGTATCATCTGCTCTTGTCCTTGTACATGAAAGGTTCTGTGCCTTTGAAACAGAGCTACACACTTTGAAACAGAAACTGTCTTCCATGAACTGGGGCAGAGCAAGACACTTCAAGAAGACTTCAGGTCTCATCTCCACAACACAAGTCTTCAGCTTTAGAAATCCTGAAACTGCTTCTGAGCCCTGTGCTTGCAGAAAGTTTTCAAAGCACTGACAGTGAATTGAGGGTCTCCCTCAACTTCGAGTGACTTTCTTTCCTTCATAGATTACAAAGCAGTCGAGTGCATGAATAAAGCGGAGGAGTGAAGCCATATGTCCACTGAGAGGCCAGCTGTAATTGCATCCCTAACGCTTTGAGGGAACTGCAGCCCCCTAACATCCATGTGGGTGACATGCCAACCGCAGGCCATACATCCTTTTCAGGATACAGGATGTAGCAGGAAACACATTCTTCTGGCAGTCCACCAGTGCAGGCAGTACTCCTGGTTCCTCAGGTGCAGAGCTCTCTGCCAGTCTGCTCCAGGGTGGCACCTTCTCAAGTTTTTATGAGCGAGCCTGGTCCAAATGGAGCAGGGGAGCTTTTCTGAGCCTGACCCATGAGTCCACTGGTTCTCACAGAGATACAACAGGGTTTGGACTGGCCCAACAATTCTGGCTTATGAAGCAGAAGAAATGCACACTTCTCCTTTGCTAGGTATCCAAGAAGAGATATTAGAGCTGCAAAGGAAGAGCCTTTCTCCACAGAGATGCCTGCTCCCTTCCTGAGCTTATCGTGCCAACATTATGCAGCCTAGTGAGTTTTTGGCAGTGCTGTGCCATGCTACCAGCCCTGCCAGTGGCT